ATTGTCTCAAACATGGGCCTTAAGGCTGGCCCAACTCGACATCCAGCAAGACCTGGAATTCGAAATCAAACCCCCATGGTCTTAATTGAGTAATATTAATTTCAAAGCTGAAGGTACTGGGCCTAACATTATACAGCTGGGTCATATTAGGCCCAGTTCATGGCCTGGACAGTCTCATTAATATGGTTAGCCAACTTAAAGCTGGAATCTGAAATTTAGCAATAAAACTAAACAATCGACAATAAATTTATAAGTCCTATTATATTGACATGCTATTTTGTTATTTGAGAACCCAAACGATGGAATTAACACTAGAGGGTAAAGTCATTAACACATTTATTAGATTTCAAATTTCTGCTGGGAACTTCACACTTAAATCTGGCATTCATATTAATGGCCCGATCTATTTCGTAAGAACATAGCACACATGCTCGATTTTTCAGTTATTCCCAATCAACGCTCGGACCTAGCTTAGGTCTCAAAATAATATAGGAACCTAAACATGAAATCGACTAAGCTATAGCTGATAAATAAAATAACAGTCCATAGAGTCCAATTACAAATCAATATAAGGTCCTATTAATACAATTAAACTGCTGTCCAAATGACATTACTGCGCTAAACACCAGAACTTAAATAAAATCCAGCAAAACATTCATATACAAGCCGGTAGTTATTCATCATTGAGTCTCAAAAGTTTTCATACAGTTTGGTCACATCTTCGCATGCCATTTGAGGCTGAAAACATACCTGGAATTGAGCAAAGTAAAGAAAGGGATCAGCCAAAGCAAGAGGAAGTAGCAGTGTTAAGCAACAGCAGCAGCAGTCTCAAACCGAAGTCACAACCACCAACACCCAGTATCAAAACCCAAAAGTCGAATTGAAAAGCCCAGTTATCTTCAAAATGATACTCTAAAATTTTCTGCAGTTCTAACTACTGAAAACACAAGGGAAGCTAGTCCATATTCAGATTTATGTGAACTGGAATTTGTGATTCAAGAATTGGAGATCTCTAATTCACCCTAACAATTCAAAGGAATAGTAAATTTCTTTTCTGTTGTTTTCTGGAACTTAGGAGAGAATCAGAAGGTTGTGAGAAGGGTTCAGATGGCTATCCCCCTTTTTCCTCAAGGCAAATGGAATGCCTACTTATAGGTGACCTTAAGGTCCAATTTCAGATTCCTTTTACCCTTAGTTCCTATTCTCATTTCAGTGCTTACCCTTTTTTTTCTGACTTGTTACACAAGTAACTACCTTAAGTTTATTAGAACCTACACTATAGTCCCTCCTAGAAAGTTCTATGCCCATTACAATCCCTATTCTATCCTTACCCCTTTTCAAAAATTACCAAATCTGCTGAAAGTACCCTTTTCCTATGCCTGAACTACCCTCAAAACTCTCTTGGAATTACTGACCAACCCAAACCCCTTTACTTTAATTAATACTGACTATAGTTAACCTTATTTAATCTAAATCAGCTATAACCAATCAATTAACCCTAACTACTTGAATTAAACTAAGATTTAATCAAACCATTGATTTAATCAAACCAAACAGTATCCGAACAGGATTGAAACAACAATTAACTAAGATTAAAATGAAACAAAATTGAATTGCAAAGAACTATCGAAACAGGCTAAAACACGTTCAAGAATCGAACTATTGAATTAAAGGCTAAAATCATGCGTTGAAAATCAAATACATACACTAATTATTAAAATTGCTAGAACACATACTGAATCAAAAAAAAAAAATAAACAAAACAGAAAACAAAAGAAACAAGAACAAAATCAGAATTAAAAGAAGGAAAAAAAAAAAACAGAATACCTAATAGAATTAGGAACTCGGCTAGGCACTGTTGCTTGAATCCTCCAGGATTCTTGACACGTAACATCCCTAATCGTGTGTTTTCACAAGAACCCACATGATTAGGAAATTACGGTCAAAAATCCCTAAAATTTTTTGAGCTAGGGTTCTGCCGGTTCTAAGATTTGAAATTCGAGAAGTTATGGCCAGATTCGAAAGGTTTTGGTTAGGGATTAATGATGGGGCGGTCATGGAGACTGTGGGGTGTGAATTTGGGTCGGTTTGGACAAGGTTGTGTTTTGGCCGGAAATTTTGATCTAATATTCGAGGCATATGGCTACGATTCGAGGGGAATGGTTATGGGGGTTGGAAAGAGGAGAGGAAGACGAGTTTGGTGGTGTATTTTTGGGGTTGATCGGAGCATCGCCGCCGGCAGCGACGATTTCCGGCCGGCGGCGGACGGCGGAGGGACGGTGGTATGCGGTGGCTCAGGGCGGAGGGCGGTGGGCGGCGTTTATTTGGGTCTCTGAGGAGGGGGTGAGAGAGGAGTGGTGAAAAATAGGGGGGGGGTGTTTGGACATATATATATTTAATCGAGCCTAGCTTCCTGGCCGTTGGATCATGAAACCTTCGACAGCCAGGATTGACTAGGGTCAAACGACGTCGTTTGGGGGCGCCTCTTGGACGGACTGGGGTATTGGGCCTGGGTTTGGTATGTGGGTTGGGAGTTTTCTTTTGGGCCAAAATAATCAACCCAATTCGGGCACAAGACCATATTCTCTCTTTTTTTTTTTTTTTTTTTAAAAATTCTCTTTTCATTTTGTATTTTCTCTTATTTTTGCTTTTTGCATTTTTTTGATTTTTGTATTTGTTATTTTTCTGATTTTTATAAAAATGCTTAAAACAAAGTAAAGACCTAATTACCCTATTTAACTCCTAAAATTACTTATAACTCTATTTGAAACAAATGTAAAGAACTATTTTCTTGCAATTTCCTTTACATTTTATTCTAAAACTAATTACTACTACAATTGTGAAATTAAATCCCTAAATGCCGATGCATATTTTTTGGTATTTTCATATGGATTAAATGCACAAATAAAAATGCAACAATTGCCACAAAATTCACAAAAGTTATAAAATACTAGAAAAATTATTTTGTTTGAAATTTGGGAATTATTGCTTAGGGCAAAAATCACGTGCTCACATCACCAAATAGCAAAGTAGAGGGAGGGAATAAAAAAAATCCAATCCTATTATCTTATAGGATTAATAAATTTCTGATATTAGATAGTTAAAAAGTTTAAGATTAAAAAAAACTTTTGAGATCCTCCAATACTATTTTTATCTTTGTCTAATACAACCACTAATTTTTTTAGCTTTACGAAAGAAAATAATATTTCTTTCAAAAAAAAATCTCTCTTTCTTTTTGTGTCAATTCTATTCTATCTATCCTCAAGTTTAATTATTATTTATAAGTTAAAAATTATATAGTGTCTAAACATTATATAAAAGTCATAGTTTGAGAAGAAAAAAGGGAAAATATTGCTTCTAGAATCGGGAAAGTAGTCCAAATGACAACATAAAAATTAGTCGCACTAAGTATATATCAAATAAATAAATACAAGATAGTGTATTTTATATGCATACGATATCACCATTTCAAATTTAAATTGCTAAAACCAAGTTGTTTGGTATAAATACCAGGCACAAGTGGGGTATTTATCGTATAGCGATTAAATGTTCCTATTATGAGAAGAAGAAAAAGTTACTTTAGGTTAATACATTATGAAAATAAGTGTAAATGTTCAACTTGCATAAACTAATATATTACTCTGCTTAATTCCTATTGCTAATCAAAACTTGTACTTAACAAAAAATTTGCAAGTATAAAGCTTGAACTATTTATGCTATCAACTTTGGATTGAAAGTTTTATAAATACGTTTCTTTTTCAAAACGCACTATTCCTCGAATATTTAAATGAAAACACTTTAATAAAAATATTTAATCAAAATAATTTCTCAAAAGGTATTCCAAACAACAAAGTTTGCCAAACGTTTTTCCAAACTTAGTTTTCCTAAAATAAAAAAAAATAAAAAAAAATAATAAAAAAAAGAGACCAAAAACCAAATCCGAATGCCATATCTTTGTTTGGTGTTCCATGTGATGAGAAAATGATTTTTCTACTCAATTGGCGGTGGATAGGCCATGACTACTGCACGTCCAATTTTTTGCTACAATAATTAAATAATATTTTTCAAGAAATGATTTGATAGTTTAAATATATACTTTTTTTTTAAAAGTTGGTGCCTTGTCAATATTAAAGTAGTTACTTAATTAAAGAGAAAATTGTCTTGCACTCTAAGGCTAAGCTACTCATTTGGGAAAATCATTCATCGCACAACTCTATCCAACAATTAATACTCCTCCTCCAATTATTAATTGGAATGACCAAAAGCCTAGTAAACTAATTTAAATACATAGAGTTATGCACATATATCCATGTGCTTAGTGGATTTTAATTGGCAATGTATCTGTAATACTCCAACTGTAATATTTAATATAAATGACATTTTTTCTTTCTTTTTTTGAGTTATGATAAGTTGAATTTGAAAAGTAGGATATACAGAAAAGGAAAGTGAAAGAAAGGGAAACGAATGAGAGACAAAAATGAAGTATTTATTCCTTTGATACGAAGAAAGAAATATTTGTGCACATACCTTTCTTCACATTTAGTGGTTTCTGTATAGCCCCAAAAAAAAAAAAAAAATTATCATTTCTTTTTCATTACTTACACTATTCTCGATTTCTCTCCTAAAACTAAGATTTTTTATTTTCGTTTTGAACCCAAGCAAAAGGGGTTTCAATTCAATTGTCGATAGAAGCATTTAAGATAAAATAAATACAGCTAAAGAATGATAATTGGTTGGTGATTTTGCAAGGTGAGTCCCTCCCTCTAAGCATTTAAGCTAAGTTATTTTGCATGTATAGCTACATGAAACTCATACTCAAAAAAGTAATAATAATAAATCGAAATATAATAGGTGAAAAAGTAGCCCTAATCTCAAATGCCTCTATTACACCTCATAGCATAACATTCCCAATTTTTAGGTAATATTGGTTTACAATACCCTCATTGGTCAAATCATGAGGATCTTCCCAATTACCCACCCTCAAACCACCTCCTCACCCCTCAAAAAAGAAAACAAATAAAGAAAGATAAATTAAAAAAGAAAAGAAAAAAACATTTTCAAGAAAATCTAGGGGCAAAAGGGCATATTCAAGTTGTTCTTATGACTAGGGATAGTGAAATGCCTTAACTTCCCAACTTGTTCCTTCATATATCCATCACACAAAAACTGTCTAGAAAATTTGTCCTCTATATTCCTATGCACATCATGCACAAACACATGAGTTTCTCCATTTTCTTTATTCCTTGCCATCATTCCTGCTGTATAAATGGCTGTCATTCTCCCTGGTGCATTCTTATGAAAACCTGTTGGAGCATCTACCATTATTAAATCCCATTTTATATCATAAATTTCATTTGGCAAACCTTTTAATGCAAGTTGACACTTTGAATATCTAGGATCAACTATAGTTGTGCAGTCTGGTTTTTTTCCTGCTTCCATTAAAACATTTGCTTCTTTCACTTTACTATCATATGTAACATGATAAGACTCTAACATGGGAAATTTTTTCTTGATTTTTTCAATCCAAATTATATCTTCGTCGAGGAAGATAGTTCGTCCTCCAAAGTTGAGTGTGTGCCACATTAGACTGTCATGGCCAAGACCAAAGACAAGGAAATTACAAGGAGATTTCTTGTCTAAAATGTTGGATGTTATTGATATCTCGTCGAGTTTTTGTTGAGGGGTGGTGTTTGAGGTTGCATAGTGAATGAGAGATTTGGCTACTGAAGATGGGATTTTGTTGTTACATTTTGGTGATGAGCAACTTATTGTTTCTTTGTCACCAGAAGAAGCTGAGGATCTTGGTAAAAAAGCATTGGATATTGAAGAAGCAGATAATAAAAATGATGTATTTTCACCTGAAGATGTCAATCTTGATCTCAGCACAAATAAAAGTAAGAAAGCGATGAAAACGCTTATGACAAGAAGCTTTAGGCTAAATGAACTCTGTGTTTTAGTTTTCATGCTTGACGTGGGAGGTATACAAGTTTTGTTTAAAGATCAGAGGTAAAGAGATATATATTGAAGATTTTGATAAAGACAAGAACTTATAAGAAAATGTTGGATGAAGCAATGTAGTTGCTGGTAGATCTTGATTTTAAGAGAATGGCAATTTGTTAAGCCTCAGATACATGTTCTCAACAATTCCTTTGAACATGGACAGAACTCATAAGGAATGAAAATTAATGTATTTATTTCCCATTCATTGACTAAGCTAATGTTTGTTATTTCTTGTTAAACGTGCTCTTTACTGTTTCTATGCTATTCATGCAGTATATATATTTTTTTCTTTCCTTTTTTTCCTTTTCCATCTCTATTTCATACAGTGGATTTACAACATACAACAACAACAAACCCAGTATAATCCCATAAATGAGGTTTGGGGAGGGTGGTGTGTAGGCAGGTCTTACCCCTACCTTATAAAGAATTAAAGATACAGTGGATTTACAGCATGTGGTAGATTTTTTGAGGTGTGCAAGCCTCGGCAGGGGGAGAAATTTTGTCTCTCCTGCTTCTGGTTCAGTAAACTATTTGAATGCTATGTCATTGGCTGTGCCAGTAGCCAAGAGACGAGAAAGAACTCACGAGAGCTAGGAGCACGAGTTCAAATCAAAGGGGGACTAGAACTCGTAAGACACTAGAATCGAATTGTGACATTTTTACCACTACACTCTCTTCTTTGCTGCTCTTGAACACCTTCTGTACCTGGCCAATGTAACTGCTGAATTGAGGTAAGAGCCACATAGTTACTTCAGTATCCACTATAATCGAATCTTCAACAACTTAAGTGGATTTCTTTAAGTGTAAGTTTACACCTAGATGACAAATACATGACAGTATTTGAATAAAGAAACAATATCCTCATGAGTATCAGCGCGATCACCCAAAAAGGAACGAATAAAGAAAGAGAAAGAAAGTATTTTCAAGAAAATCTAAGGGCAAAAGGGCATATCTAAGTTGCTCTTATGACTAGGGATAGTAAAATGCCTTAATCTCCCCACTTGTTTCTTCATATATCCATCACACAAGAATTCCCTAGAAAACTTGTCCTCTATATTCCTATTCACATCATGCACAAACACATGAGTTTCTCCATTTTCTTTGTTCCTTGCCATCATTCCTGCCGTATATATTGCAGTCATTCTCCCTGGTGCATCCTCATAGTACCCTGTTGGAGCATCCACCATTATTAAATCCCATTTTATGTCATAAATTTCATTGGGCAACCCTTTTAAGGCGAGTTGGCACATCGAATATCTAGGATCAGCTATAGCTGTACACTCTGGTCCTTTCCCTGCTTCTATTAAAACATTTGCTTCATTCACTTTACTGTCATATGTAACATGATAAGACTCTAACATGGGAAATCTCTTCTTGATTTGCTCTATCCAAGTTTCATCTTCTTCGAGGAAGATGGTTCGCCCTCCAAAGTTGAGTGTGTGCCACATTAGGCTGTCATGGCCAAGACCAAAGACGAGGAAATTGCAAGGAGATTTCTTGTCTAAAATCTTGGATGTTACTGATATCTCTTTGAGTGTTTGTTGAGGGGTGATAGTTGAGGTCGTGTAGTGAATGAGGGATTTGGCTATTGAAGATGGGATTTTATTACATTGTGGTGATGAGCAAGTTCTTGTTTTCTTGTCTCTAGAAGAAGATGAGGATGTCAATGATGTTGTAGTTTCACTGGAAGATGTTAATCTTGATCTCAGCACAAATAGGAGTAAAAAAGCTATGAAAACACACATGAGAAGAAGCTTTAGGCTAAGTGAACTCTGTGTTTTAGGTCTCATGCTTGAGTTGGGAGTATACAAGTTTTGTTTGTAGCTAGAGATATATATACTGAAGATTTTGATGAAGACAAGACAACTACTAAGAAAATTTTGGATGAAGCAATGTAGTTTCTGCTGGTAGATCTAAAGAGGTTTGGTAGAGAGTTTCTAAAAGTGAGGGTGGAGAGTAGTGCTGTTACCTCTACTTGATTGTGATGGAATTGTTGATATTAAGAGAAAGCATGTCACTTTGTTAAGATGGCAAGAAAGAAGCATACTAGCTTTATGGAAGAACAATAATGGTAGCATCCTTTCACCAACTCATAATTACAATTTGCTATGTTTCATCAGTGGAAAGCGACTCTATGTCTGTATGGAACTTTTGTAGTACATCGGTTACTCTGGGTACATCGGTTACTCTGGGAGAAATGTTCATAGCTCTCTCTCTCTCTCTCTCTCTCTCTCTCTCTCTCTCTCTCTCTCTCTCTCTCTCTCTCTCTTGTTTGTTGGTTTACCATTTCTATTACATCAAAGTTCAAATTGTGACATATTCTGATTACTGAACTGTCTTCTTAACCATGTCCTTTGGTACTTGATGAATGCAACTGTTAAATTGAGGTAAGAGCCACATTGTTACCCCCTCATTAATAATAATCGAATCTTGGACCAATGGAGTGGATTTTGTTGAGTGTAGGATTACACTTAAATGACAAATATATGATTAGCATTTAAATGAAATGAACCAGAATAGAGTGGAATGCATGTAGAAGATCTCAACTAGTTTGGTGCTGATGCACATTTGATTGATTGTAGAATTACACTTCCCATGATATATATATATATATATATATATATATATATATATATATATATATATATATATATATATATATATATAGAGAGAGAGAGAGAGAGAGAGAGAGAGAGAGAGAGATATTACAGTCAGTTAATGTCTGTGATGCAAGAAGAGAAGATGACCAAGTTCCGATTCATGCCAAACTAACTGCGTAAACAGCAGTAACATGATTCAAGAAGAGAAGAATCTATAGAACAGATAATTGAATGACTTAATACTAAATGTTAGATCCTACCATAAAATTAATGTATCTTACAGGCTTGAGCATTTAATGTAGATCTGTATTCCAAGGCCAGATACTACAAATTTGGGAAAAAAGGTTATCCTTTACATGAACTGACCAATGTATAACTGTACAAGAATGCTTCCCAAGACATACACCACCAAAAGAATTACCCACATAATACAACATCAAAAAACTGCTCTCTTTTTTCATTCTAAGGGCCGTTACAGGAGAAAGTTAGGATATGATTCTGGAACTGTATAATGTGCATTCTGCTATTACTTTTAGTGTATAGGCAAAAAAGACTTGGGAGTTCCATGTGAGTAAAGCGTTTGTTTCTCTTGCTGCTGAGATTTTCTTAGTGAAGGTTTGGTTTTTGCTTCCTTGATTCATGAAACTCGAGCATTGGCTGGAGTTCTTAACTTCATCAAAAGGTTATATCCTTTTTCCTCCTGTACAAATCACCGACCATTGCTTGTATAGTGTAAGAGCGATTCTGTTTGCCCATTGTCATTGTGTTCCTTTTTAATCTTATTTTTGTCAAGACGAGCTTTCCGGACAGCTTGCTGTATCTGTTTCTCATGCTCTTTGAGCATTTCGTCAATGTTTCCACCGGGTGGCACCAATGGTCCAGAGTAGTGGATTCGATTCTTCCTTGGAATATAACCCTACAGCAAAAAAATAAAAATGATAAGGCATTCTATCTGGATAGAACTTTACAACCACCCTTCCGCATTACAATATGCTCTGTCTCTCTCCTTTTTTTTCTTCAGCCAAAGGGGAAAATGGAAGCTTCCTTTCTATGAGTATTTCTCCTTGGTAGTATTTTCTTTTTCTTTTTCTTTTTCCTTTTCTTAAGTTTCAGGTGAGGTGCAGGATTTCAACCTTAATCCACTACTAGCCACGTGTTGAAATAACCAAGACAGTAAAGCAAATATAGAGTTCCTTACCGCTGTAGACTCCTTTCCTGTTGAATGCTTGTCCTTCTTATTGGAAGAGACTTTCCCCAAAAGAGAGTAGGAAGAGTCAGAATCATTAAGCTGATTATACTTTCCAGTCATATGCTCTTCAGGCCACTGTGAATCCCTGCTCATATCAAATCTTGAACTACCATGAGCTGCAACTGAATTGGAGAACCTGGACAATTGAGCTGCTGCACCGTGAGGTCTGAAGGACCCACATGCACTTAATTCTCCAAATCTTGAAGAATCAAATCCTCGTTGAGAACTCATAAGAGGGCCAAGTCCATTAGTATTTGTGTTAATGGAATTTCCAGAATCACTGACTTGTGATAAATGGCCATTATATAGAGATCCTCTGCTGGGATCAATAGGGAAACCAGAACCACCATCCTCTTCACGACTGTACTTCTCACTAATGCTTGTGGGATTTGACTGCTGTTTCCACTTCTACATGCCACAGAAATCCAGGTTATATGCAAACACTCAGCTTAAAGGTGAGCGAGCATACAGGGGTAAAATATGCTACTGGTATTTAAGGAAAAACCTGTATGGATGCTGGCAACTCGGCATTAGCATCAGGCGCTGGTACTGCTTTTGACTGTTTTGCGCCTTTTCTACTAGATTCAACACCAGATCCTTTGGTACCTCCACCTCTTTGCCTGAAAGCAGAATATTAGTTAATTAGGAGAAATGTAGCAAATGGTCAGTCCAATGAGAACAAAAAATGCTCTACAGTTCAAGCAAGTGTATTGAATAAAACTATTCGACAAGCCAGAACACGATATTGGCTATCAGCAACAAGTGGTAAAAGTCCTTTTGAGTCCACTGCAGCAATATAAACTCTTTGATTTGGTTCTTTATCCCTAGGAAAAAAAACAGCTCGATGATTTCGTAAATGATGGTTGAAAACCAGGCAGGAAACCTGAACGCCTGCAGAGCAGCAAAATGCAATCTGGACACCTTTGCTTGGGCAAAGAAACAGTTACTAGACCTCGTTTTATATTAAGAACTTAGAGATGTCAAATCGCCAATACACTGAAAAATGAAAATACAACAAGGCATCCTACTTTTTTTTCTCGATGAAGAAATAAATTTTATTGGTTGAATTGGAAAATTGCCACATGCAAATTTATACAAAAAGTAGAGAATCACCATCCAAAATTGTAACAAAACATCCTTAAGGACAAGATCAAATTAAATAAAGCATATGTAGTTAAAAGAAATTGTATGTCAATCAATCTACTAGTTTTACAAAAAGGAAAAAATAGATAAAGAATACCTTCTTGCTTCCTCTTCTCTCATCTTGGCATCAAATTCCTTGCTTGGAGGATACTTGGGTAAAGATGACGGATCACAAGGAAGAGGCTTCGTTGTGAAGAACTGGAACAGAGAACCCAAACAGTATAATTATATAAACAGTGTTAACGAAATAAAGAACAGGCAAAAAACCATAAGCAGAAAATCAAAGCAATAAGAGAACATTCTTCACTGTGCTTAGCAGTCAGATAACTGTATATACATGATTCGTACCCAAACCTACATCATACAACATTTTACTAGCGATATGCATAGAAACGATCAGATATAAGACCATGAGTTCCCTGAAAGGGGAAAAGATTGCTAATATGGCAAGAAAAGTCTGAATGAATTGACTTCCTGATTTGAAAGAGTAAAAAGCTTTCGTAACTGATAAAAAAAGTTAATGATCATCTAGAAACTAAGCTTACCTCGCTTTGAAGTGCCAAAGTAGCAGAACCCCGATACTCAGGTTCAAAAGCCAGGAGAGAATCCAAAAGTGCTAAAGCTGCTACAGGGAAGTCCTTAAACGTGTTGGCAAGGCAGCGCTTATATGGCTGTTGAGGTTTAAAGATCGTTGCATGTGGCAATTTTGATTTCTTCCAGTATTCTTCGGATGGTGAACCACAAAGTTTAAAGATCTTATGCAGCTGTTCCACCTGCATAACAACTTATCCAATGAGTCATTCATTTCCTGACCCACAAGGGATGCTGACCAAGAGACAATCACAAATCCACCCACAACCCCTTTTCTAAAACACATTTACAGATGCACTACGGATAGGCACACAATGATAGATGCATCAAGAGAAATGATAAGTTATAATACAGAGAAATATAGAATGGAGTACAATGCAGTTAGCAAAATGCAGAAGCGACTAATACATTTCTTTCTTTGGTAAAGTATGACTAGTGCATTTTGTATGAGTAACTTGCAGGCGTATTATAATTCATATCGTTTTGATATAAGAGATTTGATAGAAAAGGCGACAACTCTTTTTTGGGGAAGGACTAGGCAGAGTATCCTTGGAGATCCATCACTATTACCATCCTAGGTTCCTAAGGTGCTTAAAGGCGAAAACAATCTTCATCCAAAAAAATTGTTGCTAGAATAACAATTATATGGTGCACTCAAGTGGCTGGACCCAAAGAGCAAAAGTTAAGAAAATTCCTTATTGTTCGTTCATCAGCAATACAATAGCATGTGGCGTTAGAAACTTGACAATCAAGATCACACATGGAAACAGATCCCTAATATGGGTAAAAAAATACTAGGTTGATGTTCTTCAGAAGTATCACTTCAATCAAGAGATACGGTAGATTGAAGGTGCAGTATGAACTTTGCTCGCCCTAACATGTGCTTAGGTTCTTAGTTCTTTTTTTTCTTTTTGATTGGTAGGTTCTTAGTCAGTTATTAACAAGAGAAGATATATCAATCTATTCTAACAAATCACAGTGACTTTAGCCAAACCTCAGTTCTTCCCGGCATTATAGGCTTCCCTGCAAACAATTCAGCAAGGATGCAACCAGAACTCCACAAATCTACAGCCACTCCATAATCTGTAGCACCAAGCAAAAGCTCGGGAGGCCGATACCACAAAGTAACTACACGACTTGTTAGAGGTTGCCTTTGATTGTTTTGGTAAAAAGTTGCCAGCCCAAAATCGCCAATCTTGAGGTTCCCATTATTGTCAATCAGAAGATTCGAACCCTTAATATCTCGGTGCAGAAC